TCTTCTGGATCCCAACCTGAAACCACTTGTTCCCAACCTTTGGATTGCTGCTTGTCTTCGCTTTTGCTGGATCCCAACCTTCAACCACTTGTTCCTGATCTTTGGCTTGCTCGACTATGCTTCTGCTGGATCCCAACCTGCAACCACTTTTTCCCAACCTTTGGCTTGCTCCTCGACTACACTTCTGCTGGATCTCAAAATGCAACCACTTGTTACCGACCTTTGACTTGCTGACTACACTTCTGCTTGATCCCAACCTGCTTTACCTGCTGCTGGACCTCGGCTTGCTCACCTTGGACTAGCATGCAGAAAAACCTATCTCCACCACCAGGAGATCTGATGAATACCGGTTACTTCCTAGACCCCACACCTTGGGTGAGCCCGCGTCATTCTGGGGTGACCTGCTTGTGCACTTATCCTGCCGGTTGGTGGGAGCCTCTCTATAGCTACGGGTCTCCAAGCCCGACCCTTGACCATGACAGTGAGGTTGCTCAATCCCCTACCTCAGATGTGAGCATATGAACCAAATTAATACACATTTTTTCTAAAATTCTTTCTTCTGTGTGAACTGCTCCATATATATGGACCTCTCCCGTGGTGTTTTATTCCTTTTTTCTCTCCTCCCAGGCCTTTGGAGAATGTTTGCATTTCTTCACCATTTGTCTTCTAGATGGATAACAGATAAGGGGACCTCCACTTTATTGCCTGGACTTGTGTATAAACAATGTCCCTGTCCCACTGACCACTGTGCCGGCGTCTGATCTCCCTTGCCTACTGGTTGGTTTGGTGAACTTGCGTTCTTCAATGTCTATGGCACTTTATGTGTGCATGACCAGGATTTCATAGGGCTTGTTGACACTTACTTCGACTTTACCACACATTAAAGCGCCTACCGCTTCAACATGCTTTTTCAATGTGTTTTTCGGTGTTGCTTCTTTTGAAGCTTTAATGAAGACTGGCAAATGCCGTGTGGGTGTCGATTTTATATTTCTCTTAAAGGGCCCGGAAGAACCCCACCTCAGTAGTACCCCCACTCAGCAGATTCCTAGCTGATTGGTACCCTCGTTCAGTAGATCCCCAGCTCATTAGTACCCCCAGCTCTGCTGATCCTCCGCTCAGTAGTTACCACCATCTCTGCTGATCTTCTGCTCAGTAGTTACCCCATCTCTGCTGATCCCCCACTCAGTAGTAACCCTCAGCTCTGCTGATCCCCCACTCAGTATTTACCCCCATCTCGCTGATCCCCCGCTCAGTAGTAACCCCAAGCTCTGCTGACCCTTTCGTTTGCTGATCTTACTCTCTCTCTATGGTCTCAGCTCAGTAGTAACCTACAGCTCTGCTGATCCCCCACTCAGTAGTTACCCCCATCTCGCTGATCCCCCGCTCAGTAGTTACCCCCAGCTCTGCTGATCCTCAGCTCAGTAGTTACCCCATCTTTGCTGATCCCCTGCTCAGTAGTTACCCCCATCTCTGCTGATCCCCCACTCACTAGTAACCCCCAGATCTGCAGATCCTTTGGTTTGCTGATCTTACTCTCTCTATGCACTCCGCTCAGTAGTAACCCCAAGCTCTGCTGATTCACCACTCGATAGTTACCCCCATCTCTGCTGATCCTCAGCTCAGTAGTAACCCCCAGCTCTGCTGATCCCCCACTCGGTAGTAACCCCCACCTCTGCTGATTCACCACTCGGTAGTTACCCCCCATCTCTGCTGATCCTCAGCTCAGTAGTAACCCCCAGTTCTGCTGGTCCCCCGCTCAGTAGTAACCCCCAGCTCTGCTGATCCCTCGTTCAGTAGAAACCCCCAGCTCTGCTGATCCCCCACTCAGTAGTAACCCCCAGTTCTGCTGATGCCCCGCTCTCTAGTAACCCCCAGCTCTGCTGATCCCTCGCTCAGTAGAAACCCCCACCTCTGCTGATGCCCCGCTCTGTAGTAACCCCCAGCTCTGCTGATCCCTCGCTCAGTAGAAACCCCCAGCTCTGCTGATCCCCTGTTCAGTAGTAACCCTGATCCTCTGCTTTGCTGATCTTCCTCTCTATGGGACATTGCTAGTTTCTCCTGCTCTGGTCCCCCAGCTCATTAGATCCTCTGCCCTTCAGTCCTCTCTCTCCAGTCCCTGCTCACCACGTGTTCTGTCTGCTAGCTGCTCCACTCCGGTCTGGCTTCCACTCACCTTCCTGCTGCTCCACACTGCACACCAGGTGTGACATCTGCAGCAGACACTCCCAGTATATATATATATATATAAATAAATATGAACCAGAAGCAACTGCTGATGACATCTTTCTGCTTTGCTTGTTGGTCTCCCAGTGCATCCTGGGATATCTCATTCCTGCAATACCAACAAAGCCAAGCTAAAGCTGCAAAATCTATACTGTTCGGGGGTGCGTTTTCCCTACGCACCATCTGGCCAAATGATGAATCTAAAATATATAACCTTTATTCAAATATATAAAAAAATGTATGCGCAGCTGTTATAAATGCTATTGGGAGTGGAATGTCCTGCGTACAATATGACTGGATACCATGGCAATTATTTACCTTCCATCCAAATGGCTAATGTCACCGGACCAAAATCAAACACCATACCGATTTAGATGAAGCGACGGCATACAAGGAGGCACTGTAGTTCGATCACAAGCCTATCAGCTTAAATATATCATCTCCGTTAAGGAAATGGAGTTACCCCATTGATAAAAGTAACTGAATAGTATAATCTATCTCGCTACAGATATGTAATGCGGGTACACTCATCCAAGGGCTTAAATGTCAGCCTCTCAAGGAAAAGCCCCATACATCACCATATCCACCAAAAATACCTCACTGTCTTGAGGAATGCAAATAATGCACTGTAAAACGCAGTTGTCACAAGTTAGCCTGCAGTTTCTTGTTTGTGTTCTTACCTCCTTGCTGCAGTGCTGTTCCAGATCCCTTTTACATGTGTTTGGCTGTGCTCACCTATGGGTTTCGTCTGCTGTTCTCTGGGCTTTATTTCCTTCCCTTCCATCATTTCCTGGCCCGCCTTCTTGTTTGCCTGTCTATATAAGACATGCTCAGTCTAGGCCACTTTGCCTGACCAACTTCCTAGTTGTCGGAGCTCCTGTGTGTTGCTATTGCCTGTATACTGCATTGACTACTCGTGTACCGACCCCGGCTTTGTTCTCTGACTGTGCTTGTTTTCCACCTGTCCTGACCTCGGCTAGTCTATCGGATTTCCATTGGTCTCCTCCCATTGTACTCTGCCCCTGCGAGTGGTCTCCTCATCCTCAGCTGGGAGCCGCGACCTGGTCCCAGCTTGCTGCAAGTCCATCCTCACCATCGGGGGCTCTGTTAAAGAAGCAGGCTGGGGCTTAAACTCTGCGCCCTAGGGAACCTCAAGCTGACTAGGCTGGGGCTTAGACTCCACGTGCTCGGGAACCCCAAGTTGACTAGGCTGGGGCTTAGACTCCGCACCCTGGGCAACTTCAAGTTAATTAGGCTGGGGCTTACACTCTGCGTCCTGGGGAACCCCAAGTTGACTAGGCTGGGGCTTAGACTCCGCGCCCTGGGGAACCTCAAGTTGACTAGGCTGGGGCTTATACTCCGCTCCCTGGGGAACCCCAAGTTGACTAGGCTGGGGCTTATACTCCGCTCCCTGGGGAACCCCAAGTTGACTAGGCTGGGGCTTAGACTCAGCGTCCTGGGGAACCCCAAGTTGACTAGGCTGGGGCTTAGACTCAGCATCCTGGGGAACTCCAAGTTGACTAGGCTGGGGCTTAGACTCCACGCCCTGGGAAACTTCAAGTTGACTAGGCTGGGGCTTAGACTCCGCGCCCTGGGGAACCCCAAGTTGACTAGGCTGGGGCTTAGACTCTGCGCCCTGGGGAACATCAAGTTGACTAGGCTGGGGCTTAGACTCCGCGCCCTGGGGAACCTCAAGTTGACTAGGCTGGGGCTTAGACTCCGCGCCCTGGGGAACCTCAAGTTGACTAGGCTGGGGCTTAGACTCCGCGCCCTGGGGAACCCCAAGTTGACTATCTACAAGGGCTCACTTCCACCGGTGATGACATCAGTACAGACAGGGGGCAGGGAGAGAGGAGTGAATACCATGTGCATTCAAAAAGTGCTCCCAAAGAAAGACCCAAAGAAAACAAAGAGACTCTACAGGTTTAGCTCCAGCAAACGGAGCCTGGTCAGGAGTATAAAGAATTAAAATAGGTCACCTAGTGGCTGGAAGTTGTGCTCAGCTGCAGATGGTGGTAAAATGGACCTCTCAAAAGCTGCAGCTCACATGGACTTCTCAAAAGCTGCAGGTGCTGTTAGTGAGGGTTGTCATAGACTTCTACGGAGGCTTTCGAGCACCAAGGAAGCGACATGGCGGATCATTTTTTTTGAAGCAACGTGTGAACAGGACTGTAAGGAGACCATTTTATTTGGTGACGGGAGCTTTGGTTGGCAAAAACCGTTCAATGCCACATTTTGAAGCAAGTGTGAATGAACCCTAAGTGATTTGCGCACACCACAAAATTTACTCTTCCAGTGAAAGGTTTTGACGTTATTTTTATTTTTCTACTGCTATCCAAGGGTAACCCGGTACAACACGTCATTGATCTTTGGTAACCTCCGATCTCCTTTTGAACCATTTCCTGTATTACGAGGATCAGCCTCGTGTTTTCTGAGGTGTATCTCAAGGCGCTTCTTCTTCTGCCAGTACGACATCCCAAAACAGGATTCACATAGAAGACATTTCCCACACTTGGGTCACCAACACACCTCAAGGGTAGTGTGGAATCTCTTAAGTACAAAAAAAAAAAAAAAGACAGGACTTTGATGAATAAAAAAAATTCCCTCACTCAGAACAGGAATGTGGCTTCTCCCCCTTGTGCAATTTCTGATGTCTGTAAAGATTGGCCTTTTGTGAAAAGCATTTCCCACACTCAGGGCAGGAATACGGCTTCTCCCCCGTGTGTGTGCTCTGATGTCTCTGAAGATTTGACTTCTCAGAAAAACATTTCCCGCACTCAGTGCAGGAAAACGGCTTCTCCCCCCGTGTGCAGTCTCTGGTGTCTGTCAAGACCGGACTTCTCCGAAAAGCATTTCCCGCACTCAGAGCAGAAATACGGCTTCTCCCCCGTGTGAGATCTCTGATGCAGAACAAGTTTTGATTTCCGCGTAAAACATTTCTCGCACTCAGAACAGGAATACGGCTTCCTGCCCGTGTGTAATCTCTGGTGTCGGAAAAGAGTGGGCCTCTGCGAAAAACATTTCCCACACTCGGGACAGGAATACGGCTTCTCCCCTGTGTGTGATCTCTGATGCAGAACAAGTTTTGATTTCCGCGTAAAAAATTTCTCGCACTCGGAACAGGAATATGGCTTCCTGCTCGTGTGTAATCTCTGGTGTCGGAAAAGAGTGGACCTCTGCGAAAAACATTTCCCGCACTCGGGACAGGAAAACGGCTTCTCACCCGTGTGGGATCTCTGATGTAAAATGAGTTTTGAATTCTGCATAAAACATCTCCCGCACTCGGGGCAGGAATAGGACTTCTTGCCTGAATTACAGATTTGAAGTGCGATATGTTGCGATCTCTGCAGAAAGCATTTCCAGGACTCTGGGAAGGAATACGGCTTCTCCCTCGCGCGAGACCTCTGATGTCTAGTAAAATTTGCTTTACGCTGAAAACCGTTTCCCACAGTCAGGACATGAATATGGCTTCTCACTCGTGTGAGATCTCTGATGTCTGTAAAGATTGGACTTATCTGAAAAGCACTTCCCGCACTCAGGACAGGAGAAGCTCTTCTCTATTGGAAGGCCGACCCGTTCCTGCACAGTCTGAGAGTCCTCAGGATACGAGGAATCCGATGGTCCATCTACACTGGGTGGTGCCGGATGGACATTGGAGGGAGCCGGGTTTTCTCCTGGACTATATTGTATGATGTCCTCATCTTCTACTTTCCAGTCTGGAGACAAAGTGAGACAATCCTCTGAGGTTTTCCTCATCTCCCGGCCATGGACTAAAATACAAAGACAAAGAGGATTACTACACAGGAGCTGATTGGTTCCCCAAACCAGGACTCCGCCCACATCAGGCAGCTTGGTCTCTGAGGAGCTTCCAATTCCACCCACAAGGGAACTAGGAAATGGGTCAGTGACCAATCAGTGAGCAGTATGGGTGGAGGAATGGATTTAGTGTTCATGACCCACCTCTGCTGATCTCTGTAGGAGTGTCCTCCTCTATAAATGTCCCCTTTATTCCATCCTCCTCCATAGACTGCTGATCATCCCTCACATACGCCTCTTCTTCTTCTGATTTCACCTCAACTTTTATATCTGTCAGATCTTCACCCTAAACCAAGAGGAGAGAAAATGTAAGCTCCAATAATGCGAGACCACCCATCATTTTAAGTCACATGTTCTAGGTTTTTCTGTCCCACCAGCTTTGTAATGGCGGAGATGGTGTGACCTACCTGTGTGGAATCTTGGGAATACAGAGGACGGGGACATCTCTCTGGTGGGTTCCTGTAGCTGGATGACTCCACCATGGTGTCCTGGTGCAGATCTTTGTGTCCTTCTGGAATCTCTGACTCCTCCATCCCCCCATCCTCATCCTCCTCTTTTATCTCTTCTTGACCAACAACTTTAGAATCTCTCAGGTTTCCACTCTGAATATATAATAAAATGACATCAATGGTAACAATGCAGATATTGTACAGATCCTAATGATACTATCAGTGATTGTTCCTCATCTACCTGATGATGGTGAGGGATGGTGTGACCTTCCTGTGTAGAATCCCAAGAATACAGAGGACGGGGACATTTCTCTGGTGGGTTCCCATGACTGGATCCATCTACCTGATGATGGTGAGGGATGGTGTGACCTTCCTGTGTGGAATCCTGGGAATACAGAGGACGGGGACATCTCTCTGGTGGGTTCCTGTAGCTGGATGACTCCACCATGGTGTCCTGGTGCAGATCTTTGTGTCCTTCTGGAATCTCTGACTCCTCCATCCCCCCATCCTCCTCTTTTATCTCTTCTTGACCAACAACTTTAGAATCTCTCAGGTTTCCACTCTGAATATATAATAAAATGACATCAATGGTAACAATGCAGATATTGTACAGATCCTAATGATACTATCAGTGATTGTTCCTCATCTACCTGATGATGGTGAGGGATGGTGTGACCTTCCTGTGTAGAATCCCAAGAATACAGAGGACGGGGACATTTCTCTGGTGGGTTCCCATGACTGGATCCATCTACCTGATGATGGTGAGGGATGGTGTGACCTTCCTGTGTGGAATCCTGGGAATACAGAGGACGGGGACATCTCTCTGGTGGGTTCCTGTAGCTGGATGACTCCACCATGGTGTCCTGGTGCAGATCTTTGTGTCCTTCTGGAATCTCTGACTCCTCCATCCCCCCATTCTCCTCTTTTATCTCTTCTTGACCAACAACTGTAGAATCTCTCAGGTTTCCACTCTGAATATATAATAAAATGACATCAATGGTAACAATGCAGATATTGTACAGATCCTAATGATACTATCAGTGATTGTTCATCTACCTGATGATGGTGAGGGATGGTGTGACCTTCCTGTGTAGAATCCCAAGAATACAGAGGACGGGGACATTTCTCTGGTGGGTTCCCATGACTGGATCCATCTACCTGATGATGGTGAGGGATGGTGTGACCTTCCTGTGTGGAATCCCGGGAATACAGAGGACGGGGACATCTCTCTGGTGTGTTTCAAATGACTGGATCTATCTGTAGGAAACACACACACTGACTGAATCTATTGTTTCTATGTGTTTATCAGATGATGGGGGATCTAGGTGGACCCTCCGTACTGCTCTCTCCTTTCCAATAAAGTCTCCTCTTACCCGGTGATGTGAGGGGCGGCTGATTGTCCATCATGACGTCCTTGTAGAGGTCCTTGTGTCCTTCTAAATACTCCCACTCCTCCATGGAGAAATAGACAGTGACACCCTGACACCTTATAGGGACCTGACACACACAATGATACAGTCACCATCCAGACACATCCCTTGTCTGTTACTGGAGAATGTCCCAGAATTCCCGGCACCGCTCACCTCTCCTGTCAGCAGCTCCATCATCTTCTCGGTGACTTCTAGAATCTTCTCCACGTTGTGTCTCTCAGGGTGTAGGGAGTCACATGGAGGCACTGTGATGGTCATATGATCACCTGACTTCAGAGGAGGAAATCTCTGTATTGAGGAACCAATAGGAACATCATGTTAGACTCCCAGAATCCTCCTCACCTCTCCGGTCAGGTCTATGTTTTATTAATAGAGATGAGAGTGATATCATGTGACCTCCCAGAATCCTCCTCACCTCTCCGGTCAGATCTGTGTTTTATTAATAGAGATGAGAGTGATGTCATGTGACCTCCCAGAATCCTCCTCCCCTTTCCGGTCAGGTCTGTGTTTTATTAATAGAGATGAGAGTGATGTCATGTGACCTCCCAGAATCCTCCTCACCTCTCCGGTCAGCAGGTAGATGATCTCCAGGGTGAGGTTTAGTATCCTCTCAGTCATGTGACTCTGGTCCTCCTCCATCCTCATTGGTCATGTGATCTATACAGGTTTCCTGTAGACCAATAATTGATAACAGAGAATGATCCGGACTGTACTGATTGTACAATATAAGGATTTGGGGGAGGGGGGATATAAGGGGGTAATAGTCGGGGTGCCTCATCTTGCACATGAAGAGGTGTACACAGCAGACTAAAGAGGCACAATAAAGGAGAGAAGGGAAGAAGGAATTTGGTGACAACAGAGGGACAATCTCTCCAAATCCTTCCCACCATCCCCCACACCCCTCTAATGTGTCTTCTCTGCTGGCGGTATATAAGGACAGACCTCTTCCTCTGATGGCGGTGAAGTCGGGAGATGGGATGTTGGTGGGATGATGGGGGTAGGGTGGTAACCTCACCCCGATCTCATGTTATATACAGATTCTGTGGCAGATGAAGGTGGTCATTAAACTCCCATCTGCGTCATTAACCGCGTAACCATTTCCCTACCGAAGGACGGCTACAGAGCGATTGTCTGGTTCTGGGACCACATCTATGGACATCATTTCAGGACACACCCCCCGCCATCACTGTGTCCTACAGACACGGCTGATCACAGGATACGGTATACGGCCAATCAAAGTGGCCTTTTACCACGTGATCAGCCGTGTCCAATGACAGAAGAGATCTCCGAGTACATACAGTTGCTGGTTATTGGCTGCACTTTCCTTGTGCTGTCACAGCGTGAGGAGAGAACTGCCGAGAACCGGCAATTGCCAGAGGATGGATCAGCACTGATCTTCAGAGCCCATCACTGCCACCCATCAGTGCAGCATCATCAGTGCCCATCAATGCCACCCATCAGTGCTGCCTATCTGTGCCCCCCATCAGTGCTGCCTATCTGTGCCCCCCCATCTGTGCCGCCTATCTGTGCCCCCCATCTGTGCCGCCTCATCAATGCACATCAGTGAAGGAGAAAACTTACCAATTTGCAAAATTTTATAATAGAAAAACTTTTTTTTTTTTTGCTTTTTTGTCTATAGCGCAAAAAATAAACCCCCAGTGGGGAGTACATACCACCAAAAGAAAGCTTTGTGTGTGTGGGAAAAAAATTATACAAATGTCATATGGGTGCAGTGTTGCATGACCGCGTAATTGTCATTCAAAGTGAGACAGCGCTGAAAGCTGAAAATTGGCCTGGGGGGGGGGGGGGGGAGGGGGAATAGACATGATTTTGCACTCCTAGGTAGGGGGTGTGCGTTGGCCATACCCACGCCGCCATTTGCAGCCACGGATGTCAATCACCGGGTCCCGGCCAGTGATTACTGAGCATCTCCGACGGGGAGGAGGAATGTTTTGTTTACAATCTTCCTCCCTGTCAGCTTGGGCGCACTGCACAGCACAGCCATCCAGAGCAGTGTGATTACAGTGAAGCACACAGACCCCGTCCCCTAGTGACTGACTCCACCCCTTAGTAAAACACAGTTAACCCTTTGATTGCCCTTCACATTAACCCCTTCCTGCCCAGTGCCATTAGTACAGTGTCAGGGCTTTTTTTTAGCACTGATCACTGTATTGGTGTCACTGGGGATGTCAGTGACACCAAGTCAGTTCCCCCCCACCAGTGTCAGAATGCCCGCCGCAGTCCTGCTATAAGTCACTGATCGCCGCCATTACTAGTAGAAAAAAATAATCCCAGTATCTACCCCGCTATTTGTAGACGCTATAATGTTCACGTAAACCAATTAATTTCCACATATCGGGATTGTTTTTTCAGTGAAGACACGGAGCGGGAGGCATTTTGGCCGAAATTTGTGAGGAAATTGGATTTTTTACTGGACGTGTTTAATAGCAAAAAGTTCAAAAGGGGGGGGGGAGGGAGGGGAGGTGAGGGAGGAAGGGGGGGGGGGGAAGGAAGGAGGAGGAGGAAGGAAGGAGGGAGGGGAAGGAGGGAGGGGAAGGAGAAAGGAGGGAGGAAGAGGAGGAGATTGTTGTTGCCTAGAGGCCTCAAATTGGTGGAGATGTTTATGACATCATTGACCTAATAAAGCGTCATAACTTCTGACTAGTGACATCACAGTGACTATGGAGGAAGAGGACGGACGTGACGGGGGGGGGGGGGGGGATTACTGGGTGTAAATAGAAGATAAGATCTCATTACCTTCTCTGCTGTCACTTCCAGCAATGTCCCCTTTCGCCCGCCTCACCTCTCAGCAAGAAAGTCCTATTTATACCTGACATCACTTCCTGTCTTCCATAGAGACTTCCTGTCTGGGTAGAAGTGAGATCCCCACCTTGTGGAGCTCAGAGGAACTGCAGCCCCGAGAACCGTCTGGTAGTGTGACCCCGGCCTTGCGCTGGGTGTGTATATGGACTGTATGTCCTCATAGAGGGGTCACCTCCACTCCCACCAAGAAATATATGACTTCCAATGAATGGAGGGATTTTGAACCTTTGGTTTTGCAGCAGAACTGATGATGAATTTAGTGGCGATGAAACGATAGATTTGTTTTATATGTGGCACAGCTTAGGAGAAGTTTGCTGTCTACGTTGATGAAAACCTTCCTATGTGGTTTTTCGAGCCCTTTGATGCCCCCATTCATCCGAAGAAGACTCAGGCAGAGGTGGGATGGATGACACGGGTCACCCCCTCACTGCCCTCATCAGATGTACCCAGCAGCAATCAGTTCACCTAGAGTGGTCACCTCACCCCTTTACACCCGAACACATATTGACTACACGGGTTCCGTGGCTGATGAAGGTGGTCATTAAACTCACTTAGTGCCTTATCTGCAATAAATTAGCCTCAGAACCCATGTCATTAATATGTGTTCAGGTTTTAAAGGGGTGATGATCCTGCTGGGGTTCTTTGTATCCACGTGCCTGAGGTGGTACTAGGGTGACCACTCATCCCTTTAAAACCAACCACACATTAGTTACACAGGTTCTGGGGCTGATTATGGTGGTCATTAAACTCACTTAGTGCCTTCTCTGCATTGAATTCACCTCAGAACCCGTGTCATTAATATGTGTTCAGGTTTTAAAGGGGTGAGGTGATGATCCTAAATCCACCTCTACTGCTTCAGAGCAGCCAGGCAGATCAGGGTGGGACCTCATACCTCTGTACAGATGGACGGGACTCATCCCTCTTCATTCAGCATGTTCCACCTTTGGAATTCCCTGCCTGGTTATGTTGTTTCATTATTTTCTACACATCTCCCCGCCCCGTAAAAGATGTCAGATCAATGTAGACGACCACAGCTGGAACTGCTGCCACCACAATGGTGCTCCAAGCAGGACCTTGAAGTAGCATCTCCAAAGGCTTGTCCTGCCAGGGGCTACTCCGTACCATCATGCTGAGGTCCTTCCCCTTTTCCATCGCTAATCCTCCAACACCGCATCCCCGGGATCAGGAACCATTTCTGTCCTTCCTTCTACCATAATCAGCCCCAGAACCTGTGTAACTAATGTGTGTTTGGTTTTAAAGGGATGAGGTGGCCATCCTAGTTCCACCTCAAGCACGTGGATACAAAGAACCCCAGCAGGAATGACGGAAATGTTTCCTGATCCCAGGGATGCAGTGTTGGAGGATTAGTCGTCTCCTCTGACCCCAACAAGGCATTTTCCTCCACACAACTGCCACTCACTGGATATTTTCTCCTTTTCGGACCATTCTCTGTAACACCCTAGAGATGGTTGTGCGGGAAAATCCCCATTCTGATGCTCGGCTTGAACTTCAGCAAGTTGTCTTCACCATGTCTAGATGCCTAAATGCATTGAGTTGCTGCCATGGGATTGGCTGATTAGCCATTTGTGTTACCAAGCAATTAATCAGGTGGACCTAATAAAGTGGCCAGTGAGTGTAGATCGATGTTTTGTTGGCTTTATCCCAAATGTCCTCCATAGCCAGAGAACGACTTATGGAGAAGGTCAATATTAATTGTGGACAGATGCCCCTGTTGTGTGAGACCTCTGATGTTTAACAAGATCTTTTTTATGCATATAACATTTCCCGCACTCTGGACAGGAATACGGTTTCTCGTACGTGTGTAAACGCTGATGTCTGGAAAGAGTGGACTTCCGTGAAAAACATTTCCTGCACTCAGGACAGGAATACGGCTTCTCTCCCGTGTGAGATCTCTGATGTGTAACTAGGTCTGATTTATTTGAAAAACGTTTCCCGCACTCAGGGCAGGAATACGGCTTCTCTCCCGTGCGAGATCTTTGATGTTTAACCAGGTTTGATTTGTTTGAAAAACGTTTCCCGCACTCAGGGCAGAGAAATGGCCTGTCCCCTGTGTGAGATCTCTGATGTACAACAAGTACCGATTTGCGTGTATAACATTTTCCACACTCTGGGCAGGAATACAGCTTCTCCACTTTGTGAGACATCTGATGCATGACAAGATAGGCTTTCTGTGAGAAACACTTCCCGCACTCAGTGCAGGAATACAGCTTTTCCCCCGTGTGAGATCATTGATGTTTAACAAGGTCTGATTTCTGTGTTAACATTTCCCGCACTCAGGGTCAGAAATTTCCCCCTGTGTGAGATCTTTGATGTATAACAAGTTCTGGTTTCTGTGTATAACATTTTCCACACTCAGAGCAGACATAAGGCGTGCCTCTGATGTATGTTAAGACTGAACTTCCATTTCTCGCACTCTGTACAGGAATAGGGTCTCTCTCCTGTGTGAGATCTCTGATGATTAACTTTGATGTATAACATTTCCCGCATCCAGGCCAGGAAAACGGCTTCTGGTGATACATTCTGTGTGTTAAGATCATTTCATTGAATAACATTTCCACACTCCAGGGAGAATAGGCTTCTCCCCGTGTGAGATCTTTGATACAAGTTCTGCTTTCCACACTCCAGACATAAGGCTTCTCCCCTGTGTGATACCTCTGATGTATGTTAAGACTGAACTTCAGTGAAAAACATTTCTCGCACTCTGTACAGGAATAGGGTCTCTCTCCTGTGTGAGATCTCTGATGATTAACAAGTTCTGATTTTCTTGTATAACATTTCCCGCATCCAGGCCAGGAAAACGGCTTCTCGCCTCTGTGATACATCTGATGTGTGTTAAGATCAATCTTCATTGAATAACATTTCCTGCACTCCAGGGAAGAATACGGCTTCTCCCCCGTGTGAGATCTTTGATGTGTTACAAGTTCTGATTTCTGTGTATAACATTTTCCGCACTCAGAGCAACAATACGGCTTCTCGCCTGTGTGAGATCTCTGATGTTTGGAAAGACCGGAGCGGAGCAACTAGCAGATGGCACACGCAGACCAGAAGATCAGCAGAGCTGGAGGTTACTACTGAGCGCAGGATCAGTAGAGCTGGAGGTTACTACTGAGCGGGGGACCAGCAGAGCTAGAGGTTACTACTGAGCGGGGGACCAGCAGAGCTAGAGGTTACTACTGAGCGGGGGGACCAGCAGAGCTGGAGGTTACTACTGAGCGGGGGACCAGCAGAGCTGGAGGTAACTACTGAGTGAGGGACCAGCAGAGCTGGAGGTTACTACTGAGCGAGGGACCTGCAGAGCTGGAGGTTACTACTGAGCGAGGGATCAGCAGAGCTGGAGGTTACTACTGAGCGAGGGATCAGCAGAGCAGAAGGTTACTACTGAGCGTGGAATCAGCAGAGCAGTAGGTTACTACTGAGCGAGGGATCAGCAGACCTGGAGGTTACTACTGAGCGAGGGATCAGCAGACCTGGAGGTTACTACTGAGCGAGGGATCAGCAGAGCTGGAGGTTACTGCTGAGCGGGAGATCAGAAGAGCTGGAGGTTACTACTGAGCGAGGGATCAGCAGACCTGGAGGTTACTACTGAGCGAGGGATCAGCAGAGCTGGAGGTTACTGCTGAGCGGGAGATCAGAAGAGCTGGAGGTTACTACTGAGCGGGGGATCAGAAGAGCTAGAGGTTACTACTGAGCGGCTCGTGTGTATATATTCTGGGAGAGTCTGGTGCAGACGTCACATCTGGTGTGCAGTGTGGAGCAGCAGGAAGGTGAATGGGGTCCTAACCGGAGCAGAGCAACTAGCAGATGGCACATGCAGACCAGAGGATCAGCAAAGATGGGGGTTACTAAGGAGCGAGGGATCAGCAGAGCTGGAGGTTACTACTGAGCGGGGTTCAGCAAAGCTGGGAGTTACTACTGAGTGCGGGATCAGCAGAGCTGGGAGTAGTAACTACTGAGCGGGGGATCAGCAGAGCTGGGAGTTGCTACTGAGCGTGGGATCAGCAGAGCTGGAGGTTACTACTGGGCGGGAGATCAGCAGAGCTGGGGGGTACTACTGAGCGGGGGATCAGCAGAGCTGGAGGTACTACTGAGCGGGGGATCAGCAGAGCTGGAGGTTACTATTGAGCGCAGGATCAGCAGTGCTGGAGGTTACTACTGAGTGGGTGATCAGCAAAGATTGGGGTTACTAAGGAGCGAGGGATCAGCAGAGCTGGAGGTTACTACTGAGCGGGGGGATCAGCAGAGCTGGGTGTAACTACTGAGTGGGGGATCAGCAGAGCTGGGGGTTACTACTGAGCGGGGGGGGGGGGGATCAGCAGAGCTGGAGGTTACTACTGAGGTCGGGATCAGCAGAGCTGGGGGTTACTACTGAGCAGGGGATCAGCAGAGATGGGGGTACTACTTTGCAGGGAAACTGCTAAACAAAAGGATAATAATGAGCTGGGGATCTGCTGAGTGGGGTTACTCATTAACGGGGAATTTGGTAAGTGGGGGAAAGAGAACTGAGTGGCAGAGGATCAGCACAGTTGTGGGACGGCAGCAGAAAAAATTAACAGATGTCACACGTGGTGAGCAGCAGGGGAGCAATATAGTGGGAGGTGAGCAGGGACTGGAGGAAGATGGGGCTGAGCGGCACAGAATCAGCAGAGTAGAGGGACCGCAGCAGGAGAAACTAGCAGATGTCACACGTGGTGAGCAGCATAGGAGCAATATAGCAGAAGGTGGGATGAGACTGAGCGGCAGAGAATGATCAGAGCTGAGAGGCTGAAGCCTGAGAAACTAGCTGATGTCACACATGGCACACTGCATGGAAATAATATAGTGGGTGGTGAATGGGGACCACAGAGAGAGAAAGATCAGCAAACCAGATGATCAGCAGAGCTGGGGGTCCTACTTGGCATGGAATCTGCTGAACGAAGGAATTAATGAGCTGGGGATCTGCTGAGCGGCGGCAATCACAAACTGGGGATTAGCTGAGTAGGAGAACTCATGATCTGGAGATTTGCTAAGGAGAAAGAGAGCTGAGTGGCAGAGGATCAGCAGAATTGCAGGACCAGTCCAGAAAAACTTAATGTTTCATGTGCTGAGCAGCTTGGGAGCAATATAGCGGGAGGTGAGCGGGGACTAGAGGGAGAGAGGACTGAGCGGCAGAGAATCAGCAGAGCTGAGGGTCCAGAGCAGGAGAAACTAGCAGATATCACAGGTAGTGAGCATCATGGGAGAAATGTAGCATGAGGTGAGTGGGGACTGGAGGGAGAGAAGACTGAGCAGCAGAGAATGAGCAGAACTGAGGGGCCGAAGCCTGAGAAACCGGAGTATGTCACACATGATGCGCAGCACAGAAAAAACATATAGCGGGAGGTGAGTGGGGATTGGAGAAAGGGGAGGCTCAGCAGAACTGGGAGTAGCTAACGAGTGGGGGGGATCAGCAGAGCTGGAGGTAGCTACTGAGTGGGGGGGATCAGCAGAGCTGGAGGTAGCTACTGAGTGGGGGATCAGCAGAGCTGGGGGTAGCTATAGAAACCAGTCCCCCCATGTAAATGAATGGGTCTCCCGAGTGATGTCATTGACCAAATATGGTCATGTCCAAATATAGTCAATGATGTCACCCAGAAGACCCCGCCCCTTTACATGTACTGTATCAGCTGTTTGTCTGCCGAAGTTCTCAGAAGCAAGTGAGCAGTCATCAAGGTGAGACTTCATTGGTGACGCCATTGCTAAGGACCTGGACCTACATTGCCAGGTGTTACGACTTGACAGTGGATGGAGGACTATGTACCCCTTACGGCAGGGTGGGATCTGGGGGCCTTCCTATTGGTAAAGGGAACTTCCACATAAGCCCCCTGCCAGCAGACCCGCACAACCAGCAGGCTAGGATTGGGTTGTGGAGAAGAGGTGTGTGTCCTGATCAACATGGCAGCAAGGTTCTTCAAAGGTCTGGTATGGTTCAGAAGGGAAGCTTTTCCATCCCCTTTCCTGACAAGCTGAGCTGCATGGTTAGTTTTTTGTATGACTTTTTTGGGGGGACCCTAGGATTTTTTCTTGATGTTTCCATGGAAGCTTCCCCCCCCCGTTAAATTCATAAAAGGGTCTGGTATGGAATTTGGGTGGGACTGCACCCTGTTTTTTTGGCATGAGTTCCACCTTAAAATTCATACCAGGCCTAAATTACGTGAAAACCCCCCACACCGGGTTTGTGGTCCTCCATGAACATTTACAGCAGACCCTCATCTAGGACAAGGGTCCGGTATATGAAGGGAACCCCCCTGGCTGCTTTGGAAACTTGCATCTTTTTTTCTTGTTTCACTTGAAGCATCGGTGAATCGCTGCTCCTGTCAGACAGAATTTTGTTGTTTTGGTACATATCCCCCCGTGCAGTGCCCAGCCCCCCCCCCCCAATCCAAGAGTTTGATAAATTGTCTATTGGCCTAGAAAATGGTCTGAAGTAATTTATAATATTCGGCTATTTACCTCCCAGGTGTGTTCAGCTCATGGACTTCGTGTTCCTGACCCACCTGTGCTGATCTCTGTAGGAGTGTCCTCCTCTATAAATGTCCCCGTTATTCCATCCTCCTCCATAGACTGCTGATCATCCCTCACATACGCCTCTTCTTCTTCTGATTTCACCTCAAATTCTATATCGATTGGATCTCCACTCTACATCAAGAGAAGGAGAGAAAATATCATCTGTAAGATAGAAGATTTATTATTGTGACATCACATAGAAAATCCGCACATCGTCTCCATGAGTCCATGTTCTAGATTCTCTGTCTCACCAACCTTGTAATAGTGAGGGATGGTGTGACCTTCCTGTGTGGAATCCTGGGAATACAGAGGACGGGGACATCTCTCTGGTGGGTTCCCATGACTGGATCCATCTACCTGATGATGGTGAGGGATGGTGTGACCTTCCTGTGTGCAATCCCGGGAATACAGAGGACGGGGACATCTCTCTGGTGGGTTCCCATGACTGGATTCATCTTCCTGATGATGGTGAGGGATGGTGTGACCTTCCTGTGTGCAATCCCAGGAATACAGAGGACGGGGACATCTCTCTATGGGTTCCCATGACTGGATCCATCTGTAGGAAACACACACACTGACTGAATCCATTGTTTCTATGTGTTTATCAGATGATGGGGGATCTAGGTGGACCCTCCGTACTGCTCTCTCCTTTCCAATAAAGTCTCCTCTTACCCGGTGATGTGAGGGGCGGCTGATTGTCCATCATGACGTCCTTGTAGAGGTCCTTGTGTCCTTCTAAATACTCCCACTCCTCCATGGAGAAATAGACAGTGACACCCTGACACCTTATAGGGACCTGACACACACACATGATACAGTCACCATCCAGACACATCCCTTGTCTGTTACTGGAGAATGTCCCAGAATTCCCGGCACCGCTCACCTCTCCTGTTAGCAGCTCCATCATCTTCTTGGTGACTTCTAGAATCTTCTCCATGTTGTGTCTCTCAGGGTTTAGGGAGTCACATGGAGGCACTGTGATGGTCATATGATCACCTGACTTCAGAAGAGGAAATCTCTGTATTGAGGAACCAATAGGAACATCATGTTAGACTCCCAGAATCCTCCTCCCCTCTCCGGTCAGGTCTGTGTTTTTTTAATAGAGATGAAAGTGATGTCATGTGACCTCCCAGAATCCTCCTCACCTCTCCGGTCAGGTCTGTGTTTTATTAATAGAGATGAGTGATGTCATGTGACCTCCCAGAATCCTCCTCACCTCTCCGGTCAGGTCTGTGTGATGTCATGTGACCTCCCAGAATCCTCCTCACCTCTCCGGTCAGGTCTCTGTTTTATTGATAGAGATGAGAGTGATGTCATGTGACCTCCCAGAATCCTCCTCACCTCTCCGGTCAGGTCTGTGTGATGTCATGTGACCTCCCAGAATCCTCCTCACCTCTCCGGTCAGGTCTGTTTTTTATTAATAGAGATGAGTGATGTCATGTGACCTCCCAGAATCCTCCCCACCTCTCCGGTCAGCAGGTAGATGATCTCCAGGGTAAGGTTTAGTATCCTCTCAGTCATGTGACTCCGGTCCTCCTCCATCCTCATTGGTCATGTGATCTATACAAGTTTCCTGTAGACTAATAATTGATAACAGAGAATGATCCGGACTGTACTGGTTGTACAATATTAGGATGGGGGGAAGGGGGGGTATAAGGGGTTAATAGGGAGAGAAGGGAAGAAGGAATTTGGTGACAACAGAGGGACAATCCCTCCAAATCCTTCCCACCATCCCCCACACCCCTCTAATGTGTCTTCTCTGCTGGCGGTATATAAGGACAGACCTCTTCCTGTGATGGCGGTGAAGTCGGGGGATGGGATGTTGGTGGGGGGATGGGGTAGGGTGGTCACCTCACCCCGATCTCATGTTATATACAGATTCTGTGGCAGATGAAGGTGGTCATTAAACTCCCATCTGCGTCATTAACCGCGTAACCATTTCCCTACCGAAGGACGGCTACAGAGCGATTGTCTGGTTCTGGGACCACGTCTATGGACATCATTCCAGGACACGCCCCCGGCGATCACTGTGTACTATGGACACGGCTGATCACAGGATACGGTACATGGCCAATCACAGCGGCCTTTTACCACGTGATCAGCCGTGTCCAATGACAGAGGAGATCTCCGGGAATGGTACATACAGTTGCCGGTTATCGGCTGCACTCTCCTTGTACTGTCACAGCGTCAGGAGAGAACCAGCAATTGTCAGAGGATGGATCAGCACTGATTATCATGGCACAGCAGTGCCGCCTACCTGTGCCCATCAGTGCAGCATCATCAGTGCCACCCACCTGTGCCCATCAGTGCTCATCAATGCCACCCATCAGTACAGCATCAGTGCCCATCACTGCCACCCATCAATGCATCAGTGCCACCCATCAGTGCAGCCTCATCAGTGCCACCCATCACTGCCACCCATCAGTGCAGCCTCATCAGTGCCCATCACTGCCACCCATCAATGCATCAGTGCCACCCATCAGTGCAGCCTCATCAGTGCCACCCATCACTGCCACCCATCAGTGCAGCCTCATCAGTGCCCATCACTGCCACCCATCAATGCAGCAGCATCAGTGCCCATCACTGACACCCATCAATGCAGCAGCATCAGTGCCCATCACTGACACCCATCAATGCAGCATTGGTGCCCATCAGTGCCACCTCATCAGTGCCAACCATCAGTGCAGCCTCATCAGTGCCACCCATCAATGCACCATCATCAGTGCTGCCTATCTGTGCCACCTCAGAGCTGCCTATCAGTGCCCATTACTGCAGCCTCATCAACGCACATCAGTAAAGGAGAAAACTTACCAATTTGCAAAATTTTATAATAGAAACAAAGAAAAACTTTTTTTTAATTTTTTTTTATAGCACAAAAAATAAAACCCCCAGCGGGGAGTACAGACCACCAAAAGAGAGCTCTGTGTGTGTGGAAAAAAATGATAGAAATGTCATATGGGTACAGTGTCGCATGACCGCGCAATTGTCATTCAAAGTGCGACAGCGCTGAAAGCTGAAAATTGGCCTGGGGGTATAAGGGATTTTGCATTCCTAGGTAGGGGGCGTGTGGGCCATATCAGCGCCGCCATTTGCAGTCACGGATGTCAATCATCGGGTCCCGGACAGTGATTACTGAGCATTTCCGACGGGGAGGAGGAATGTTTTGTTTCCAATCTTCCTCCCTGTCGGCTTGGGCGCACTGCACAGCACAGCCATGCAGAGCAGTGTGATTACAGTGAAGCACACAGACCCTGCCCCCTAGAAACAGACTCCGCCCCCTAGTAACATACCAAGCCCCTCATAAAACATTCCCAGCACACAGTTAACCCTTTGAACACCCCAGATGTTAACCCCTTCCTGCCCAGTGCCATTAGTACAGTGTCAGGGCTTTTTTTTTTTTTTTTAGCATTGATCACTGTATTGGGTGTCACTGGGGATGTCAGTGACACCAAGTCAGTCCCCCCCCCCCCCCGTGTCAGAATGCCCACCGCAATCCCGCTATAAGTTGCTGATCGCCGCCATTACTAGTAGAAAAAAAAATAATCCCAGTATCTATCCCGCCATTTTTAGACGCTATAACTTTCCCGTAAACCAATTAATTTCCACATATCGGGATTTTCTTTTCAGCAAAGACACGGAGCGGGAGACATTTTGGCCGAAATTTGTGAGGAAATTGGATTTTTTAAATTTTTTTACTGGACGTGTTTAATAGCAAAAAGTCCAAAATATTGTTTTTTTCTCAAAATTGTCGATCTTTTTTTTTTTTTTAGGCGCAAAAAAAAAAATGCGCAGGGAATCAAATACCACCGAAATAAAGCTCTATTCGTGGGGATAAAAGGACGGAAATGTAATTTGGGTGCAGCGTAGCACGACCGCACAATTGTCAGGGAAAGTAATGCAGCGACGTAATGCAAAAAAAATTTCTGGTCAGGAGGGGGGAAGGGAATCCTCTGGAGGGGGAGTGGTTAACATGTGTTCGGGTTTTAAAGGGATGAGGAGGCCATGAGGAGGAGGAGGAAGAGGAAGAGCAGGAGGAAAAAGAAGGAGGAGGAGGAGGAAGAAGAGGAGGAGATTGTTGCTGCCTATAGGCCTCAAAGTGTTGGAGATGTTTATGACATCATTGACCTAATAAAGCATCATAACGGCTGACTAGTGACATCACAGTGACTATGGAGGAAGAGGACGGACGTGACGATGGAGGAAGAGGACAGACGTGACCATGGGGTAAGAGGACGGACGCGACGGCGAAGGGAGAGGACGGACGCGACGTCGGAGGGAGAGGACGGACGCGACGTCGGAGGGAGAGGATGGACGCGACGTCGGAGGGAGAGGACGGACGCGACGGTGGAGGAAGAGGACGGACGTGATGGCGGAGGAAGAGGAGGACGGGCATGACAGTGGAGGAAGAGGAGGACGGGCTCGACGGTGGAGGAAAAGGACGGATGCGACGGTGGAGGAAGAGGATGGACGTGACGGTGGAGGAAGAGGACGGATGTGACGGTGGAGTTAGAGGACAGGCATGACGGGGGGGGGGTTACTGGGTGCAAATATAAAATAAGATCGCATTACCACCTCTGCTGCCACTTCCAGCAATGTCTCCTTTCTCCCGCCTCACTTCTTAGCAAGAAAGTCCTATTTATACCTGACATCACTTCCTGTCTGGGTAGAAGTGAGATCCCCACCTTGTGGAGCTCAGAGGAACTGCAGCCCTGAGAAGCGTCTGATAGTGTGACCCAGACCTTGTGCTGGTGTATGACGGTAGGGGGTGGAACGGGGACGGGGGGGGGGGGGGGGATGGGAGTGGGGGGAGGGGCGGGGGGCGGTGCAAGGGACGGTGCTTGGAGGTGGAACCATGGGACGGTGCTCGGATGTGGGTAGGGGGCGGAGACAAGGGATGGTGCTCGGAGGTGGGTAGGGGGTGGAACCAAGGGGCGGTGCTCGGAGGTGGGTAGGGGGCGGAGACAAGGGGTGCTTCAGAAAGGGGGAGTGCCTTCACCTTGTTCTTCAAGAAAACAAAGGCCCGGCTTAGCGCCATCTAATGGCCAAATGCTGTTCCCTTCAGTTGTAAATCGATGGGTCAGTGTCATTAGGGCGTTCTTCGATGTCTCCCGTGTGCAGGAGCATGATCTGAGGGATTTCTATGGAACCGTGCCTGACGAAGGAAGCGAGGAGTTCCATTCCTAGGAAATGCAAGAAGGATTTGCCCAGAGGTGGGATGGATGACACGGGTCACCCCCTCACTGCCCTCATCAGATGTACCCAGCAGCAAGCAGTCCACCTAGAGTGGTCACCTCACCCCTTTACACCAGAACACATATTGACTACACGGGTTCCGTGGCTGATGAAGGTGGTCATTAAACTCATTTAATGCCTTATCTGCAATAAATCAGAACCCGTGTCATTAATATGTGTTTCGGTTTTAAAGGGGTGATGATCCTGCTGGGATTGGCAGCAGTTCCCGGCTGGGACCTGCTGATTGGCTGTGTCCAATCACAGCACAGAGCCATGTGTTTACAAACAATACAGGCCTCAGTACACAGAGCAGCGAGGTGGCTGTTTCCTCATCCTGCAAAGCAGGGAGAAAAAACAGCCACATATTATTAGTAAAAGCAGCACATACTACACATCGTTGGGCACACACCCCTTGCTTGCCCCTAGATGTTAACTCCTTCCCAGCCGGTGTAAAGTATTAGCACTGGTCACTATGATTTCACTGGCGAGGTCAGTGTCAGTCAGTTCCCAACCCAGCGTCGGATTGCCCGCCGCACTTTCGCAGTCCCATTATAAGTCGCTGATCACTGCCATTGTCAATATAGAAAAATAAATACAAATTCCCGTAGATATCCCGTAGTTTGTAGACGCTAAAACTTTCACACAAACCAATTATGATACACGTATCGAGATTTTTTTTTTTTTAACCAAAGAAATGGAGCAGAATACACTTTGGCCTAAATTTATGAAGGAATTTGATTTTATTGGATATGTTTTATAACAGAAAGTAGAAAATATTGTTTTGGGGTTTTTTTTTCAGGAACAATTGATTACTGTCCGTGATACTTTTTTTATTTGCACTAACATACAATTTTGAGGACAAGCTTTCGGGGGCCCCTTCTTCAGGTCTACGCAGTACTGAAACAAAGATTTAGCAGAATATTAGAAGAGATGTAGGGGATGGGAAGAAAAAAAAACAAAACCACAGATAAGACACAGAAAAAGCAAAGTCTGGGGCAGTCATGCTTGAGCTGTGAGTCATAAAACTGTTGGATAATGAGTGAGGAATCCCATGTCCAAAGTCAGGCTTGTGACATCTCTTGTGTCAAATAGAATTATCAATCTTAGTTCAAAAGTTTTTCTTTCCTGAATGGATTTGAAATTTCCTTTAGGAACTAAAATATTGAGGTCTTTCATTGTGTGGTGTGTTTGTGCGAAATGGTGTCCTACAGGTGTGCAGAGGTCATCTTCTTTATGTTCCTTGATGGTATGTCTGTGCAAATTCATCCTTGTTTGCAACTTCTGTCCTGTTTCACCAACATAAGATCCTTTGTTACATTTTCTGCACTGGATAAGGTACACATTACTGGAGGTGTAGCTGTATGAGCCAGAGATATTGAAGATCCCTTTTGAGTGTCTGACACTTTTTGATGGATTGATTTGGTTGCACAGTTTGCAGCATTTCTTTCTGCAGGGTTTGCTGCCATTATTTGTGACCTCATAATCAGGAAGTTTCCTACTAATTAGTTTATTTCTGAGGTTGGGGGGTTGTCTGAAGGCCAGTATTGAGGATTGTCTGAAGGCCAGTTGTCTGAAGGCCAGTATTGAGGGTTGTCTGAAGGCCAGTATTGAGGGTTGTCTGAAGGCCAGTATTGAGGGTTGTCTGAAGGCCAGTATAGGGGGTTGTCTGAAGGCCAGTATTGAGGGTTGTCTGAAGGCCAGTATTGAGGGTTGTATGAAGGCCAGTATTGGGGGTTGTCTGAAGGCCAGTATTGAGGGTTGCTGGAATATTTCAGAGTTCCATGCTCTGTTATGATGGGTTGTAAATCTTTGATTATTTTTCTTATCCCTTCTAGTGCTGGGTTGTATGTGTGTCAAGGAGCAAGGAGCCAGACACACAAGGAGGTGCAATTAAAGGTAGGTTTATTAATATAAAAATAAGACAAGAGTCTATGCAAGTCCAACAGCGGAAATCGTAGCCAAAGCCGGGGTCAAGAGCCAGGAAGAATCATCGCCAAATCCGGGGTCAAGAGCCAGGAAGAATCGTCGCCAAATCCGGGGTCAAGAGCCAGGAAGAATCGTCGCCAGAGCCGGGATCATGAGCCAGGAAGAATGGTCGCCAGAGCCGGGGTCAGAAGCCAGGAGGAGTCTTAGCCAAAGCCGTATCGGTATCCAGGAAAGCAATGAGTAGCTAAACAGGAGCTTGCTGTTGTGCAACAGACAGGACAAGAATGCAATGACAGCCACAAACAGCAGACTGATAAGCCGCTACCTCCTGGGGGAGGAGCCGCAGAGGGCTGAAAGCATAAAGGATCCCACAATGCTTTGCAGACACCTAAGATGGATGCCAGCACATGGAGCAGCACAAGGTCTGAGGAAAGGTAGGACCTCGACAATGTGGTTACTAGAGGTACACGGTTGTTTTTTTTCTCCTTGTACTGAAGTAGATTTTCTCTTTGGGTTCTCAAGGCTGTTTATGCCGGTGTTGTTAGTTTTGTCCTTGTAACCTTTGTTATGGAAGGAGTCTGCTGGTGTCCCGAGATGTTTATCTCTGTATTCCTGGTCTGAACATATTCGATGGTGTCTGATGGCCTGACTGTGTATGATGGCACGTTGGGGGTGGAAGCTGGAACTGTGGAGGTAGTTGCATCTGTCAGTGGGTTTCCTGTATATTGAGGTGTGAAGCGTATCATCCCTGATGTATACTGTGGTGTCTAGGAAGTTGACATGTGTGTTTGAGTATTCCATTGTTAGTTTGATTGATGGATGAAAAGTGTTGATCAATGAGTAAAATTGTTTTAGGTATTCTTCACCTTTTGTCCATATGATGAAAATATCATCAATATAGCGATAGTATCTGTATGATTTTTGTTCCATGCTGTTCAGGAATTTTTCCTCCAGGTCAGCCATAAATAAATTGGCATATTGGGGTGCCATTTTACTTCCCATCGCAGTACCCATACATTGAAGATAGATGTCTTTATTGAAGGCAAAGTAATTGTGTGTAAGTATGAATTCAATGAGCTGTGTAACATCCTCAGCAGTGTATTTGTGGTTTGGTGAGGATGATAAGGATCTGTGGCATGCAGCTAATCCATCCTTGTGAGGGATATTACTATACAGGGATACTACATCCATAGTCACTAGAAGTGTATTAGATGGTAATTGCTGGATGTTGTTGATCTTGTTCAGAAAGTCAGTTGTGTTTTGCAGGAAACTAGCAGTATTCATGACTAACGGTTTAAAAAAATTTTCTACAAAGCCTAAGATTTGTTCGGTGAGTGTATTCATACCTGTTATGATGGGTCTGCCTGGATTTCCTGGCTTGTGGACTTTAAGCAGCATGTAGAAGTCCCAGATTTCTGGATGATCCGGAATCGCATTTATAAGTTCTGAATGTAGGTGGGCTGGAAGTGTTTTAATGAGACCTTTTAATTGCTTTGTAAAGTCCTGGGTCGGATCATAATCCAGTTTTTTATAGTAGATGGCATTTTCCAGCTGCCTCTGGCCTTCTTGTATGTATTTGTTTGTATTCATCACAACAACTACTCCCCCCTTTATCCACTGGTTTGATGGTGATGGCCTGATTATTGCGCAAATCGTGTATAGCCCTTCGCTCTAGTTGTGAAAGATTGTACAGAATTTTCTTTTGCTGGGTGGATATCAGGGATGTAGCTCGCAATCTGAAGCTATCAATATAGGTGTCCAGTTTGGGGTTGCGTCCTTGTGGAGGTGTGAAGCAGCTGTTCTTTTTCTTTGTGTAGCACTCCATTGTCCTAGGATTCCTTTCATTATTGTGGAAATATTCTTTGAGCCTTAGTCTCCTGAAGAAATCCTCCATATCTGACAATACTTGTAAATGATCCAATTTGGTGGTTGGGCAGAATGTAAGGCCTTTGGAGAGGATGGTTAATTCTGGTTCGGACAGTTTATGCTTTGACAAGTTGATGATTCCAAGTTCCTCTGTATATCCACATTTTCAGTCAGGTCAGCATTTACACAAGGGATACCTTGGGATTCCGGATTAGATTGCAGGTCATTGATAGTAGGAGGTATAGATGTTGGGTTGCTTTTATGTTTAGGTTGTATCCAAAAGGTCTGCTCTTGGTGTAGCTTCTGAAGTTTTTTTTTGCTTCCCATTCATGGCAAGTTTTTGTGTTTGTCTTTGTAAAGTTTCCAATTCATTCTTGATTTGGTTAATGTTGGTAGGTCCAATGATGTTAGGGTTTCAAAGACTGCTTTTGTATCCAGATAGTTACCCTTTTTCCATACAGTTTGTGAATGAGGTGATTCCTTAATCTCTCACTGGTGCGTCTGCAAAGTCCTTCTGCATAAGGAGAGTTGATTGTATTTACGCAAGGATTTTTAATGCGGAGGCCTTGTGGTATGAGATTCCTCTTTTTGCATCTTGAGAGAAAGAAAATATCACTGTTGATCTGTGTTTCCTTTGTGATTAGGTTAGTTAACTGCTTCTTTATGCAGCTATATGCAGTATCTTCCATTTTGCTTGAGGTGATTGTAGCCGTATTAGTGCATTTGCGACAGAAACAATTGAGTACTGTCCGTGATACTTTTTTTATTTGCACTAACATACAATTTTGAGGACAAGCTTTCAGGGAATGTCCCCTTCTTCAGGTCTAAGCAGTACTGAAACAAAGATTTAGCAGAATGTTAGAAGAGATGTAGGGGATGGGAAAAAAAAAAAAAAAAAAAACACAGATAAGACACAGCAAAAGAAAAGTCTGGGGAGGGGGGGAGACAACACTAGCAGAGGCAGTCATGCTTGAGCTGATAGTCATAAAACTGTAGGATAATGAGTGAGGAATCCCATGTCCAAATTAGGCCGTTATCTCTTGTGTCAAATAGAATTATCATTCTTAGTTCAAAAGTTTTTCTTTCCTGAATGGATTTGAAATTTCTTTTAAGAACTAAAACATTGAGGTCTCCCATTGTGTGGCCTGGTTGTGTGAAATGGTGTCCTACAGGTGTGCAGAGGTCATCTTCTTTATGTTCCTTGATGGTATGTCTGTGCAAATTCATCCTTGTTTGCAACTTCTGTCCTGTTTTGCCAACATAAGTTGCAAACAAGGATAAATTTGCACAGACATACCATCAAGGAACATAAAGAAGATGACCTCTGCACACCTGTAGGACACCATTTCGCACAACCAGGCCACACAATGGGAGACCTCAATATTTTAGTTCTTAAAGGAAATTTCAAATCCATTCAGGAAAGAAAAACTTTTGAACTAAGAATGATAATTCTATTTGACACAAGAGATAACGGCCTGAATTTGGACATGGGATTCCTCACTCATTATCCAACAGTTTTATGACTATCAGCTCAAGCATGACTGCCTCTGCTAGTGTTGTCTCCCCCCCTCCCCAGACTTTTCTTTTGCTGTGTCTTATCTGTGTTTTTTTTTTTTGTTTTTTCCCATCCCCTACATCTCTTCTAACTTTCTGCTAAATCTTTGTTTCAGTACTGCTTAGACCTGAAGAAGGGGACACTCCCCGAAAGCTTGTCCTCAAAATTGTATATTAGTGCAAATAAAAAAAGTATCACGGACAGTACTCAATTGTTCCTGTCGCAAATGCACTAATACGGCTACAATCACCTCAAGCAAAATGTTTTTTTTTTAAATCTTCTGCCTTTTTTGCTTATACAATAAAATATATATATCAATAAAAAAAAAAAAAAAACAGAGTGCGGCGTGTCAGATTGCCCGCCACACTATCGCAGACCGATCACTCATTGTGTTCATTCAGGAAGGAAGGGGCTGGTAAATGTTACATACTTATCAGACCCTTCCCCCACTCTCCACCCTGAAGGATCGTATTGTGTGCTTCCAGTTGCCGGTGGGAAGCAGAATCCTGAAGGATCGTATTGTGTGCTTCCAGCTGCCGGTGGGAAGCACAGGAGGGAAGCCGGCAGCACTGCGGGGGTGGGGGGGCACACAGGGGGGCCTGGGCAGCAGGGGGAAAAGTATGGTGCACAGGGAGGGGGGCAGTTACAGGAACTGATAAGAAGGTACCACCAATCCTCCTGTAGGGGGCCCCAGGAAGCTGGGTGATCCAATTTGGGCAGGGAAGGTGATCATCGGAGGGGATGGGGGGCAATTACTGGAACCAATGTGTGAATTTCAGCCTTTGTTTCCTGTTCTTAGCTGACAGGAGTGGCTCCCGGTGTGGTCTCAGCTGACAGGAGTGGCCTCCGGTGTGGTCCCAGCTGACAGGAGTGGCACCCGGTGTGGTCTTCTGCTGCTGTAGCCCATCTGCTTCAAGGTTGGACGTGTTGTGCGTTCAGAGATGGTATTCTGCATACCTTGGGTGTAACAAGGGGTTATTGGAGTTCCTGTTGCCTTTCTATCATCTGGAACCAGTCTGCCCATTCTCCTCTGACCCCAACAAGGCATTTTCCTCCACACAACTGCCACTCACTGGATATTTTCTCCTTTTCGGACCATTCTCTGTAACACCCTAGAGATGGTTGTGCGGGAAAATCCCCATTCTGATGCTCAGCTTGAACTTCAGCAAGTCGTCTTCACCATGTATAGATGCCTAAATGCATTGAGTTGCTGCCATGGGATTGGCTGATTAGCCATTTGTGTTACCAAGCAATTAATCAGGTGGACCTAATAAAGTGGCCGGTGAGTGTAGATTGATGTTTTGTTGGCTTTATCCCAAATGTCATCCATAGCCAGAGAACGACTTATAGAGAAGGTCAATATTAATTGTGGACAGAAGCCCCTATTGTGTGAGACCTCTGATGTTTAACAAGATCTTTTTTATGCATATAACATTTCCCGCACTCTGGACAAGCATACTGCTTCTCCCCCATGCGAGATCTCTGATGTCTGGAAAGACTGAACTTTTCTGAAAAACATTTCCCGCACTCAGGGCAGGAATACAGCTTCTCCCCCGTGTGAGATGTTTGATGCTTAACCAGGTCTGATTTATTTGAACGTTTCCCGCACTCGGGGCAAGAATATGGCCTCTACCCCATGTGAGATCTCTGATGTATAACAAGTTTTGCTTTCTGTGTATAAGATTTCCCGCACTCGGGACAGGAATACAACTTCTCTCCCGTGTGAGATCTTTGATGTTTAACCAGGTCTGATGTGTTTGAAAAACCTTTCCCGCACTCAGGGCAGGGAAATGGCCTGTCCCCTGTGTGAGATCTCTGATGTACAACAAGTACCGATTTGCGTGTATAACATTTTCCACACTCTGGACAGGAATACGGTTTCTCACCCATGTGTAAACTCTGATGTATGGAAAGAGTGGACTTTCGTGAAAAAAAATTCCCGCACTCAGGGCAGGAATACAGCTTCTCTCCCGTGTGAGATCTCTGATGTTTAACCAGGTCCGATTTGTTTGAAAAACGTTTCCCACACTCAGGGCAGGAATACGGCTTTTCTCCCGTGTGAGATCTCTGATGTTTAACCAGGTCCGATTTGTTTGAAAAACGTTTCCCACACTCAGGGCAGGAATACGGCTTTTCTCCCGTGTGAGATCTCTGATGTTTAACCAGGTCTGATTTGTTTGAAAAACGTTTCCCACACTCGGGGCAGGAATACGGCTTCTCTCCCGTGTGAGATCTCTGATGTTTAACCAGGTCTGATTTATTTGAAAAACATTTCCTGCACTCAGGGCAGGGAAATGGCCTGTCCCCTGTGTGAGATCTCTGATGTACAACAAGTATCGATTTGCGTGTATAACATTTTCCACACTCAGGGCAAGAATACGGCTTTTCCACTTTGTGAGACCTCTGATGCATGACAAGATAGGTTTTCTGTGAGAAACACTTCCCGCACTCAGTGCAGGAATACGGCCTCTCCCCCGTGTGAGATCTTTGATGTGTTACAAGTTCTGATTCCTGTGTATAACATTTCCCGCACTCAGAGCAACAATACGGCTTCTCGCCTGTGTGAGATCTCTGATGTTTGAAAAGACTAGTCTTCTCCGAAAAACATTTCCCGCACTCGGGGCAGGAATACGGCTTCTCACCCGTGTGAATCTTCAGATGGGTGTCCACATGGCTCTTCTGCGAAAAACATTTCCCGCACTCAGGGCAGGAATACGGCCTCTCGCCCGTGTGTAAACTCTGATGTCTGTAAAGATTGGAGTTCCGTGAAAAAACAATTTCCCGCACTCAGGGCAGGAATAACGCTTTCCACCCGTGTGAGATCTCTGATGTTCCGAAAGACTTAATTCAGACTGAAATCTTTTCCCACACTCAGGACAGGGAAATGTCTTCTCCCCCTGAATCCCGGCCCCATCCCCCACAGTACGAGGGTGCTCAGAGTCAGAGGAATCCCATGGTCTCTCCACACTGGGAAGTCCACCATCCATGGTGAAGCTCATTGTCTTTTCTCTGGCACAATCTCCTGGGATGTCCTCATCTTCCATTTTACAACCTGGAGATAAAGTGAGACGATCCTTTGAGGGTTTCTCCATGGCGGGTCCTGGAAGATAAAATTTTTTTTTTAAAAAAGACCATTAGATTTGATACTTGCTTACTTACTTATTTTTTTTTTCCCCAAAAATTGTCGGTCTTTTTTTTTGTTTATAGCGAAAAAAATGAAACAACCGCAGAGGGGAACAAATACCACAGAAAGAAAGCTTTATTCGTGGTGAAAAAAAGGTCGTAAATTTCATTTAGGTGCAGCGTTGCATGACCGCACAATTGTCAGTTAACGCATCGTCGTATCGCAAAAAATGGCCTGGTCAGGAAGGAGGGGTAAATCTTCGGCAGGGGGAGGGATAAATCCTCGGCAGGGGGAGGGGTTAATATTTAGCTCTAAGGCCTGGTTTACACTTGCTTCAAAATGTACCATTGGACACGCATTTGTGCCAAACAAATCCCGTCACTAAATCCAATGGTTACCTAGAAGTCCTGTTCACACTGTTGCATTTACATTGCTTCAAAAATGATCCCCCAAGTATCTTCAGAGTCTGGTGTAGATGTCACATCTGGTGTGCAGTGTGGAGCAGCAGGAAGGCGAGTGGGGTCCTGACTGGAGCGGAGCAACTAGCAGATGGCACACGCAGACCAGAGGATCAGCAGAGCTGGAGGTTACTACAGAACGGGAGATCAGCAGAGCTGGGTGTTACAACTGAGTGAAGGGAACAGCAAAGATGGGGGTTACTAAGGAGCGAGGGCTCAGCAGAGATGGGGGTTACTACTGAGCGGGGGATCAGCAGAGCTGGGCGTTACAAAGGAGCGAGGAAACAGCAGAGCTGGAGGTTACTAAGGAGCGAGGGATCAGCAGAGCTGGAGGTTACTACTGAGCGGGGGATCAGCAGAGCTGGGGGTTACTACTGAGTGCAGGATCAGCAGAGCTGGGGGTTACTACTGAGCAGGCGATCAGCAGAGATGGAGGTTACTACTGAGAGCGGGATTAGCAGAGCTGGGGGTTAATACTGAGCGGGGGATCAGAAGAGCTGGGAGTTACTACTGAGTGGGGGGATCAGCAGAGATGGGGGTACTACTTTACATCTGCTGAACAAGGGTACTAATGAGCTGGGGATCTGCTGAGTGGGGGTTACTCATTAGCTGGGGATTTGGTAAGTGGGGGAAAGAGAACTGAGTGGGAGAGGATCAGCACAGTTGTGGGACGGCAGCAGGAAAAATGAACAGATGTCGCACGTGGTGAGCAGCAGGGGAGCAATATAGTGGGAGGTGAGCGGCAACTGGAGGGAGAGAGGACTGAGCGGCAAAGAATGAGCAAAGTTGAGGGACCGAGCAGGAGAAACTAGCAGATATCACAGGTGGTGAGCATCATGGGAGAAATATAGCAGGAGATGAGTGGGGACTGAAGGGAGAGAGGACTCAGTGGCAGAGAATGAGCAGAGCTGAGGGGCCAAAGCCTGTGAAACCGGAGAATGTCACACATGATGCGCAGCACAGAAGAAATATAGTGGGAGGTGAGTGGGGATCGGAGAAAGAGGAGGCTCAGCAGAACTGGGGGTAGCTACTGAGTGGGGGATCAGCAGAACTGGGGGTAGCTAACGAGTGGGGGAACAGCAGAGCTGGGGGTAGCTACTGAGTGAGGGATCAGCAGAGCTGGGGGTAGCTACTGAGTGGGGGATCAGCAGAGCTGGAGGTAGCTACCGAGTGGCGGAGCAGCAGAGCTGCTGGGGTAGCTAACGAGTGGGGGATCAGCAGAGCTGGAGGTAGCTACTGAGTGGGGGATCAGCAGAGCTGGGAGTAGCCAACAAGTAGGAGATCAGCAGAGCTGGGAGTAGCTACCGAGTGGGAGATCAGCAGAGCTGGGGGTAGCTACTGAGTGGGGGATCAGCAGAGCTGGAGGTAGCTACTGAGTGGGGGATCAGCATAGCAGGGGGTAGCTACTGAGTGGGGGATCAGCAGAGCTGGGGGTAGCTGCAGAGACCGTTCCCCCCCAATGTGAATGATTGAGTAAATGGATAGGTCAACCGGGTGATGTCATTGACCAAATATGGTCATGTCCAAATATAGTCAATGATGTCACCCAGGAGACCCCGCCCCTTTACATGTACTGTATCAGCTGTTGTCTGCCGAAGCTCTCAGAAGTGAGCAGTCATCAAGGTGAGACTTCATTGGTGGCGCCATTGCCAAGGACCTGGACCTACATTGCCAGGTGTTATGACTGACAGTGTGGATGGAGGACTATGTACCCCTTACGGCAGGGTGGGATCTGCGAGCCTTCCTATTGGTAAAGGGAACTTCCACATAAGCCCCCTGCCAGCAGACCCGCACAACCAGCAGGCTAGGATTGGGTTGTGGGGATCAACATCAAGGGTCTGGTATGGTTCAGGAGGGAAGCTTTTCCATCCCCTTTCCTGACAAGCTGGACTGCATGGTTAGTTTTTGTATGAATTTTTTGGGGGGGACCCTAGACTTTTTTTTTTATGTTTTCATGGAAGCTTCCCGCCGTTAAATTCATAAAAGGCTCTAAGGGTCTGGTATAGAATTTGGGTGGGACTGCACCATGTTTTTGTGGCATGGATTCCACCTTAAAATTCATACCAGGCCTAAATTTTGTGAAAACCCCCCACACCGGGTTTGTGGTCCTCCATGAACATTTACAGCAGACCCTCATCTAGGACAAGGGTCCGTATATGAAGGGAAGCCCCCTGGCTGCTTTGGAAACTTGCATCTTTTTTTTCTTGTTTCACTTCACTCTTGTTTCACGGTGAATCGCTGCTCCTGCCAGACAGAATTTTGTTGTCTTGGTACATATCCCCCCGGGCAGTGCCCAGCCCCCCCAAACCAAGAGTTTGATAAATTGTTTATTGGCCTAGAAAATGGCCTGAAGTAATTTCTAATATTCGGCTATTTACCTCCCAGGTGTGTTCAGCTCATGGATTTAGTGTTCCTGACCCACCTGTGCTGATCTCTGTAGGAGTGTCCTCCTCTATAAATGTCCCCATTATTCCATCCTCCTCCATAGACTGCTGATCATCCCTCACATACGCCTCTTCTTCTTCTGATTTCACCTCAAATTCTATATCGATTGGATCTCCACTCTACATCAAGAGAAGGAGAGAAAATATCATCTGTAAGATAGAAGATTTATTATTGTGACATCACATAGAAAGTCCGCACATCGTCTCCATGAGTCCATGTTCTAGACTCTCCGTCCCACCAACCTTGTAATAGTGAGGGATGGTGTGACCTTCCTGTGTGGAATCCCGGGAATACAGAGGACGGGGACATCTCTCTGGTGGGTTCCCATGACTGGATCCATCTGTAGGAAACACACACACTGACTGAATCCATTGTTTCTATGTGTTTATCAGATGATGGGGGATCTAGGTGGATCCTCCGTACTGCTCTCTCCTTTACAATAAAGTCTCTTCTTACCTGGTGATGTGAGGGGCGGCTGATTGTCCATCATGACGTCCTTGTAGAGGTCCTTGTGTCCTTCTAAATACTCCCACTCCTCCATGGAGAAATAGACAGTGACACCCTGACACCTTATAGGAACCTGACACACACAATGATACAGTCACCATCCAGACACATCCCTTGTCTGTTACTGGAGAATGTCCCGGAATTCCCGGCACCGCTCACCTCTCCTGTCAGCAGCTCCATCATCTTCTTGGTGACTTCTAGAATCTTCTCCATGTTGTGTCTCTCAGGGTTTAGGGAGTCACATGGAGGCACTGTGATGGTCATATGATCACCTGACTTCAGAAGAGGAAATCTCTGTATTGAGGAACCAATAGGAACATCATGTTAGACTCCCAGAATCCTCCTCACCTCCCCGGTCAGGTCTGTGTTTTTTTTTTTAATAGAGATGAGAGTGATGTCATGTGACCTCCCAGAATCCTCCTCACCTCTCCGGTCAGCAGGTAGATGATCTCCCAGGTGAGATTTAGTATCCTCTCAGTCATGTGACTCGGGTCCTCCTCCATCCTCATTCATGCCGTCACCTACGAAGGTTTCCCTGTAGACAGATAACCAAGTAACGTTATGACATAATGATAGGATGTGGATATCAGGACAGGGGTGACAGGAGGGGGTGTAATACGATGCGCTGAATCCCAATGGAGGGACATTGGGAGGAAGAATTGTGAGGGGTACTCAGTGAGACTTCTCTCCCAGGTGCACCCCATCTTTGTGTTTGAGCTTTACCAATACACAAATCATATTTATGTGATATATCTGCTGAGGTGAGAAGGTGACATTTCCAAAATGAAGGAAATGTTCTGCCCCTGAAGGGGTTAATCTGGTTCCCACACTATATATGTGTGTATCATCATCTGCTGGAGATAAAAGACGTCACAGTGAATATGGAGGAAGAGAACAGACATGACGATGGAGAAAGAGGACAGACGTGACGGTGGAGGAAAAGGACAGACGTGACGGTGGAGGAAGAGGATGAATGTGACGGTGGAGGAAGAGGACGG